ATTTAAAATCAATGCAGTCCCATGGCCCTCTGCGGCCCAAAGTTAAAAACTGTTGTTCTCAAGGTGGTGCTCACGGCCCGCAGGTTAAGAGTCTCTGCTCTAGACCAATAAAAGTTTTCAATCCTGCACCCTCTGAAGCAAAACTAGCATGTTGTCAGGAGATAATTTCAACAAACTACAGATCATTTTGAAATTCTGAGATGGAGAATTTGAGAACAATAACTCTATATTGGTCTAGCATTAACTAATGGTTTTAGTTTTATATTTCTGGGGTCATGTCGTCCTTCAGGACTCCTTGTCCCGCCATCGTGGAGCCCATGGAGCCACCTGGTGACGAGGAAGGCCTTCCTGAGAAGCTGGTACCGAAAATTCCCAAGTACCACAAGTGGGTGAAGATGTTTTCTTCAAGTCCTTGTAGATTTTTGTGACCTGCTTCTGAGAACTCGCTGGGGTTTGTCTTCTGCTCTTCAGGGAGCGAGAGCAGCAGCCACGCTTCGCCCAGCCGGGAACCTTTGAGTTTGAGTACACGTCTCGCTGGAAGGCTCTGGATGAGATGGAGAAGCAGCAGAGAGAGCAGGTGGACAAAAACATCAAAGAGGCCAAAGAGAAGCTGGAGGCTGAGCTGGAGTCTGCTAAACATGAACACCAGCTGATGTTAATGAGACAAGGTGAGACCAGTCCAGACGTTAATGAGACCAGTTCTGCTACTAAAATAACTTTCAAGATACAGACTCTGCTCTTTGTCTTGTTTATTAATGAACGACTGTACATGAAAACTCATCTTTAAGTCATTGTACAAACTTTTTATGTTTTTTTTCTTCAGATTTAATGAGACGTCAGGAGGAACTCAGAAGATTGGAGGAGCTTCGCAACCAGGAGCTGCAGAGACGAAAACAGATAGAAATGATGTTTGTTTTCACGTCTTGTTTGAATTTGACAAAAAGACATAAATATTGTTAATCTGGTTRTAGTCTAAAAGTAGTGCAAAAGAGAAAAACAAAACAAACGTGCCAWTCCAGGTCATTTATTTGARTCTCTCTGTCCACAGGCATGAYGAGGAGAGGAGGAGGAGGGAGGAAGAGATGATGAGGCACAGAGAGCAGGAGGACATGAGGCGTCAGCCTGATGGCTTCAAACCAAACTACCATGAAAACGTGAGTCCAGTCACTGCAGAAACACAATCAATCTGTAGCAAACAAAGATAGTGCTGGCAGCCACAAACAATTATTTTTATAGTCAATTAATCAACGATTATTTTTTTCGATTAGTCGACTAATCAGATCATATGCTAATTGAATATAAAACATAGAGCTTATTGCACCAGAATGCAGCTGCTATTATATAACCATCGTTAGATTTTAGCTATATGCTAACTAAAAATAATTGCTGTGGAAGGCAAGTTCTGCTCTACAGATATTGCACAGGTTTCTCTCTCATTTTCTTAAAATGATCCCACACTTTTGAGTTCTGTTGCCAGGTAGCCATGATAACAGAGCCTGTCTGTAT